TTCAGCTCACTGTGCAGCCCAGGCCAGCCTCAAACTCACAGCAGTTGTCTTGCCTCAGCCCCCTGAGAGCTGAGGTTATAGCCATGAACTCCCATGCCTGGTTTGGCCATGTAGATTTCATACAGAACTGACACAGTAAGTTCTCCTTATTGGCCTCATTGAAGTGAGTGACATTTGGGGGCAGGGATGACATCTTCTTTTTCTGTCTTAGTGTACCTAGGGCAGGACCCAGTTTGTACACAGGGAATAAAGCTGAATTCCAGGTAAAAGCATTGCGACTTGGCAATAGTGATTAATTCACTCGGTCTCACTCATCCAGGTGTTTGTAGTGGCCATGACAAAACTCATAGGAGTTGTTTACCGAAGTGCCTCCAGTCCTTCGGCTCGGACTCTAAGGCTTCCAAGGAGATAGGCCTCTTTCCGTGAATTCCCAGGCCCCACTCTGCAGAGAGCTGAGTTCTCCCCGTCCCTCCAGTGTCCTGCCTCAGTGCTCTCCCCTGAGCGTCACGAAGATCCCAGTGGGACAAAAGGGGGGCTCATTTCCTCCTACAGCGTCTCTTAGTATTTGGAAAAAATGAAAAGCTGCTTATATATTTTAGTTTTTACAGTAGTATGTCAGTTCTTGCTGATGACTTTAGAAACCGTTGTTAAATTGTTCTGGTGGAGAGCATTGATTAGCTAGCGGTGATTGAGAGGCTGCAGCTCCTGGATAGGGCGAGCTTTTTATTTTGCAGCTGCCAGAATATAGGAAGAAATGTGGCTTTGTGTTACCTTTAAGTGAAAAGGATTTTTTTTTTTTGCTTCAAACAATTTATTTAACTGAAATGGACTTATATTTGTTTCTGAAGTGACTTCCATTTATTTTGATACATCTTTTCCCCATGATGATTCGTAGGATCTTTAAGTCAATATAAATATTTTATAAATATTTGAATATTTGTATATATACCTGCACACCACCTCAGCAATATCTTTCAGCAAGAAAAACACTGAAGACTAAAGACTAGACACAATTACTAGGTACAGTGAAAATCTGCTGCAAGTATTTCTGAGGTAAGAAGGCACCACATACCTGTTCAACTAAGAAAACCACCCTTACAACACAGGATGATGTAGGACCCAGAACGCTGAAGCTGCCAGTTAGGTGCTGAATGGCAGAGCAACATCCCCGTTTTGGCATGAATTCATAGGGAATAGGTTCCAACAACTCAGGTTCCTTTCCATTGGTCCTCACAAAGTGTGCTTCTCTGGGAGGGGCAGGCTGGCGCTTCAGTTGAACCCAGGTAGCTTTCTCTTTGGCTTCCTTCTTTTTCTGATCATTTTCCTTGAAACATTTCAGGAAGCTATCATGACTTTTTTTTTTTTAATTTATTTATTTATGTGTGTGTGTGTGTGTGTGTGTGGCCAGCTCAGCCCACCAGGGGGCGGGGCTGGCTGGCATGTGGTGCTGGGGGATTGAACCGCGGTCCCTGTGCTTTGCTAAGCTTGTTCTAAGTAGGTGCTTTAGACCACTGAGCCATCTCTCCAGCCCCTATCATGACTTTTTGGATGTTTAATATTCTCAATACACACATTAATCCTCTTGGCAAGTATCTTACCCTGGCTTGTTTACAACAATGCCAGCAGCATGCTGGGTAATGTTGTAGGCTCTTCCTGTTTTGCCATAGTAACATTGGTGAGGCATTCCTTTTTGTACAGTATGCATTCCCTTGACGTCTACAATATCACCCTTTTTGTAGATTCGCATGTATGTGGCCAAAGGAACAATCCTATGTTTTCTGAAAGACCTGGAGAATGTATCCCAGGTTCCCCTCCTCTTGCCCTTTGTGTTAGTCATTTTGGCAAATTACTGGAAGATGGTGGTTCTGGCTGAAAGGGTTGTGAAAAAGATCTTGATTTCACTGAGCAAGAGACAGAGGGAAGGTGGACATTGTGGCAAACTGTAGTGTGCATGTCCTCTCTATAGGGGGCAGCAGCTGCTGAGCCCCAGCATTGCTGAATATTCCAGTTTTTCAAGAGGGGCTGGAACTGCCAGCCAAATAGTGGCACCGGTGGTTTGATCCCTGGGCCTGCTGTGCCAGCCCAGTCCCCAGGGCGCCCTGAAAATGCAATTGAGACTGCATGTGATGACATGCACCTGTAATCCCAGCTCTTGAGAGGCTGTAAACAGGCTGATCACTGCAAGCCCGATCTAGTAGTGAGACCCTGAACACCCTGTAGACCCTTCCCTAAAATACAAAATAAAAAGTGCTGGTAATAGAATTTTTAATTGTGGAAATATTTTTGAGACAGGGTCTCACTATGCAGTTCAGGCTGGTCTTGAACTTGTAGCCCACGCTGGACTGGAGCCCATGCCGATTCCCATCTTCCATCTCCTGACTACTGGGATTACAAGCATGTACCACTACGCCCAGCCTATTGTGGAAATTCTTGAGCAGTAGTTTAAATTTAAAAACAAAAAGCCAAACAATTGTAGGCCAAGCAAAACATGACCACCGGTTTGTGACTTTCTTACATTATCACAAGATAGTCCTGTGCTGGAGTCAAGAAATACAGTGTTGTTCATGAAAGGTGCAGACCATGTTGGGTTAACACATCTTCAGGGGCCTCTTGTTCAGTTCAGTTCACATTCCTATTTCACTTCCTCAGCCCAGTGCCTTGTGTATGGTACGAGCCTAGGATGAGGGCCCTGGATTTTGCCTCTGCACAGCCTCAGCTTGGGGTGGTTCTGAGTTTTTCTAATGCTGGCTGGTCTCAGCTTACAGTTCCAATGCTCAATGCTATCTGAACTACTCAGCCTCAGTGCTTCTGTTCCACATACCAGGGCTTGCAAACCTAGCTGGTTCTGACCAGGTCTTGTGTACCCCCAGTCCAGCCAGCTGTCTCTAGAGGAAGGGGGCTGTGGCCGTAAGGCATCCCCTTCCAGGCCGTGCATGGGTGAGCGTGGGTAGACTGGGAAGCAACCATGCAGCCCCTTAGTGCATCTTCAAATTTTCCCCTCACAAAGTGAAACGAGGTGGTTTTCTACTTCTGTATTTGCATTGTTTCTAACTGAAATGTAAAATGTCTTCAGACAGCTCTGTTGCTGGCCTTTACATAGGAAACTTGAGTTTGTTTTCTCTAAGGTGCTACTTACATTTCCCAGACGAGAAACTGGATACAGGCATTCCACAACTTGGATCCTTCACAGTCATTTCCAGCAGGCCCCGGCTCACCCTGGAGAAAGGCCCCATACTGTAAATAGAGCCCATCCTTGGCAGGCTGGGGCGCCACTGGAGGAGCAGGAAAGAAAATGTATCACAGCGTAAAATAAAAACATCAAAAGTGTAAAGGTATTCGGGCGTGTTGAAGGGCGTATTTTTTTTTTTTTTAAGTTCCAAGTTGGGCTTCAAGCCACAGAAAAGGAGGACATAATGATACAACATATTAGCCCAAGAATCAGCAAACCACATCCTTCCCTCCAAATCTGGCCCACGGCCTGTTTTTGTGAAGTTTTCTTGAAACTTAGCTATACTCGTTTGCCTCTTGATTATTATAGCTATTTATTGCTCTACAGTGACAGAGTAATTGCATCAATACAAAAAATTTATCACTTAACCCTTTATAGAAAAAACTTGCCTACCTCAGTTTTATTCCTTTTATCAAACTACTTCATTAGACTGAGAACAGCAGTTACAGCTCTATGAAGTTCTTGGAAACAAACTTGGGTATTTCACAGAACAGTCCTGGGAGAATGCTAGCTAATTCAAAATAGGGTTGCTCTCTACATTTTTATCCAACTTTAGTGATTCAGTAGATGGGTTCCTATTCCCTTAGTATTTCTGGCTAAGGCATGCCGGGGAAGAATTTGTGCTCTTGGGTGTCTGAAGGTGTCCATTTCGGCTAAATGGTTCTTTCCATGCAATTCAAGAAGATTTTAACATGTTAATTTTGTTTGTATCTTTTAAGCAAGCCCTTTATATCTTTATTACTTTTGTCTTATAAAAGTTAATGAAGCCAGGGATGTAGCTCAGCGGCATATCGCCTGCCTGGCAAGCTCAAGGTCCTGAGTTCGATTCTGATATATAAAAAAATGTTAATGTAAGTTGACTATTTAAAAAAATGCAGAGTGTATAGCAATACAGGGAGAAAAAACTAAAATTGCCTATAATTGGAGACCCTTCCCCATCACATATATACAGCTAATTAACATTAGGTATTGTGTATTGAAAATCTTTTCATAAAATTAGAAGCTTATGCCTACTGTTTTTAAACCTTTTTGAAAACATATCCTGTATAAAGTTTTTATAATGTAGTCTTGCATTTACTTAATTACTTATTACTAGTGATTTTGGTTCTTTCCAACTATTATTCATTATTCAAAAGTAACAGTATGCTCTTTTCTGCTTATTGCCATGAGATAAATTACTGGGATTCAAATTGCTGGCTCAAAAACATGAAAGCTGGCTGGGGGTGGAGCTCAGTGGTAGAGTCCATGCTTAGCATGTGCAGAGCTCTGGGTTTGATCCCCAGGGCCCACCCTCATCCTCCGAAAAGTGTATGCCTGTAAAATCTTCTAATAGACACCTGCCAGACCATTCCCCAGAGCTGCTCTTCTGGTTTAAACACCCACCAGGAGGGTCTGCAAGCACCCGTATTTTAATAGCTACTTCGAAAGATTACTGTATTTTTATTCAGACATATTTTACTCATATTTTTTGAGGGAGAATCCATTTTTTAAAAAATTAATTTATTTGTGTGTGTGTGTGTGTGTGTGTGTGTGTGTGTGTGGCCAGCTCAGCCCTCCAGGGGGCGGGGCTGGCTGGCATGTGGTGCTGGGGGATTGAACCACCATCCATGTGCTTTGCTAAGCTTGTTCTAAGTAGGTGCTTTAGACCACTGAGCCATCTCACTAGCCCCAGGGAATCCACTGATAGACTGTTGGCTTTGGTGACCTGAACCTCAGTCTGTATGGTGTGTGACTGCACATGTTAAGTGACTGTCATTCTCTTTTGTCACAGGCTCCCCCTCCCAAACCCCCTCGCAGGCTTGGAGGCTGGACAGATGATTCCATGAGGACCTCAAAGTGAGTAGCAGCAGCTCACCAGGGTGGGGTGGCAGCTGGCAGAGTGGGCTGGGGATATTGCTTCTGTGTTGCTGTTTTGTTTTTTCTTTCTTTCTTTTTTAAATGTATTTAGGACAAAGTCTGTTGGGTCTCACAACATAGATCAGACTCATAGTGACTTTCCTGTTTTTAGCTTCTGAAGCACTGGGATTACAGGTGTATGCCACCACGCCAGTCTCAGTTGCCATCTCAGCGCCCCCTGGGGGTGGGGGTGGCATGGCATGCCAGGCTGGGGATGGAATCTGGCCACTGTGTTCTGCATAAGCAGGTACTTTAATCCACTGAGCTATCTGGTTGGCCCAGTTTTGTTTTGTTTTGTTTTGTTTTTAACAGTTTTATTAAAATATAATTCAAAAGGCCAGTGAGATAGCTCAGCAGACGGGACCAGGGTTTGATCCCTGGCACCACTTGCCATGCCAGCTTTACCCCCCCACCCCCGCCCCAGGTGTGCTGAGCTGGCCACCAAGACTGGGTGTGGTGGCACACAGTGGTATCCCAGCACTGGGGAGGCTGAAAACAGGAAGATCACTATGAGTCTGAGCTGTATGATGAGACCTGTACCAAATACGTAAAAAACAATACTAAAATATAATTCACATACCATTCAACTCACCCATTCCAAGAGTATAGCATAATTGTTCCTAGTGTAGGCACGGGTTGTGCAGCCCTACTGATCAGTTTGGGGAATCAATTTTTATCTCACCCCATCACCCCCACTCCGGAGTTGTTAGCAGTCACTAGTCATGTCCCCTCCCCCTCCCCAGTTCTAGGCAATCAACTTTCAGCTCTATGATTTGCCAATTTTGGATATGTTATATCAGTGGAATCATACATTATGTGGTCCTTTATAATTTGCCTCTCTCCAGATAATTTTTTTTATTTTGGTCAGCCTTAGTTCTCTTAACTTTTTAATCTTTTGAAATAGCAAAGAAGCAAAATTATGCCCCTTAATATATAAAGCCCACTGTATCTCCAGATAATATTTTTAAAGTTCATCCATGTTATAAGATTCTGTGTATTTAAAACAATTTTCTAAAGAGAATAGAATTGTTATTAGTAACTGTGGATGAACTCCATAGTACATCTGCCCTTACGTAGGTCATTCATTTATGAAGAAGAGCAGTACAGCCTGGATACGTTGTTCTGTGCCTATAATCGCAGCATTCTGCAAGGCTGAGTTAGAAGGAGTGAAAGTTCAAACCCAGCCCATGCACCTAGTGACTTATCACTTAGTGACCCTATTTCAAAATAAAAGTTTGTTTTGTTTTGTTTTTAAGGGTTAGGGATGTAGAAAGCTCTGGATTCAACTGAATACAAAAACTTAAACCCTTACTCTGCCTGGTATATGGTTGGGATATGGTGTTACCAAGGCCAGTGATGTGAGCTGACATGCATATTGGTGCGGCAATCATCTGCTATTATCTCATCAGTTAGTTTTCTGACCTCAGGGTTCCCAGAGAGAATAGCCTAATGTCGCAGCGAATGCACCAGCACCTTCTAAGCTGCAGGGGCTTGAGTTGCAGGGTTGGCTACAGATCCTGTTCAGCAAGGGGCTAGGTGTTTCCTATCAGCAAGCCTTTGCATGGGCACATCTGTGCTCTCTGCAGGGTGACGTAGAGAAAGTTGTTTTTTTTTTTTTTTTCTTTTTTGTAGCTCTCCTAGCCTTTCCACAGCTTATGCCAGAGGCCAGTTCCTTGTGCTTCCATTTGGAGAGATAGCAGAGCAACAGGTTCTAGATCCAGAATACTTGTTTTTTTTTTTTTTTTTTTTTTTTTGGAACTGGGGATTGAACTCAGATCCTTGCGTTTGCCAGTCAAGCGCTTATCCTACTGAGCCATCTCCCCGGCCCCTACTGAGCCATCTCCCCGGCCCCCAGAATACTTGGTTTTAAGTCACAAGTGTGCTACTTATCCTCTCAGAGCCCTTGAGCAAGTGATTTAACCTAACTGGCCTTGGTTTTCTCATTTCTGCAATCGGGTTAAGGGCTGTTGTGATGATTAAATTAATTCATATGTGTAAAAGGTACTCAGAAGATGGTGCATACCTATAATTGCAGTGCTCTGAGAGACTGAGGCAAGATGATCAAATTTGAGCCCTGTAACTGAGCTACTTAGTAAGACCTTGGATGGATGAATACATAGATAGGTAGGTAGGTAGGTAGGTAGGTAGGTGGGTAGGTAGGTAGATAGGATAAATAGGGTAGATATGATAGCTAGGATAGGTAGGTAAGCAATAGGATGGATAGATAGGATAAATAGGGGAGATAGGATGGATGGATAGATAGGATAGATGGGATAGGTAGATAAGATGGATGGAGGGGGGGTATAGCTCAATGGGAAGGCCGTAGGTTCAGTCTCCATAAAATTAAATAAAATAAAAAATTTTAAATGTGGTCAGAAGAGAAATGCATTAAGATGCCCTTGAGAACTGCTAACTATAAAGTGGCTTTATTTCTCCTCCCTAGTGGCTCCCAGAGACAGCTGTGCCCATGTGCTTCTCACAGGCCTTCTGGCAGGTGGTGACATTTATGAGTTGCAAGAGTTTGAAGACATTTATGGTTGAATAGAAAAGATCTGTTTGGAAGAAGTAACTTCAGGTCAAGAAAAGCAAGTGTTATATTAAATATCAGTAGTCTTCCTTAAGTGGAGCTACATTAGAGCCTTAAGCTTCGGAATGTCAGATTCCCAAAGCTTCCAGATCGGCAGTCTTTGCTTAACCTATGGCCTTAAGAATTGGATATAAAGGGCTGGACAAATAGCTCAGCAGATTAAAGCGCCTGCAAGCAGGCGCAGGGGTTGGGGGTTTGATCCCCAGGCCTGGCATGCTGGCCCTGCCCCCAGGGCAGTGGTGGTGTGTGGTGGTGCGTGCCTGTAATCCCAGCACTTGGGAGGCTATAAACAGGCGGATCACTAGAGTCTAATCTAGTAGTGAGACCCTGAACACCCTGTAGACCCTTCCCTAAAATAAAAAAAAAAAAAAAAAAAAAAAAAAAAGGATGTAGCTGAGTTTCTGCTAGTGGATCAGACTACACATGACTGCAGTAGAGAGAAGACTCAGGCCATTCAGCAGGAGCGTAGGGGTGCTTTCCAAATGAGTTTGTCTGGAATAAGGAGAAAGCAGGATTTAGTATTATGAAAAAATTGACTACGAAAATGGATTTTTCATAGTCCTCAAAGTTTTTTCTCCCCCCTTCAGAAAGGCAGATTTCCATGGGGATTAAGGTGTGGCAATTAAGTTATTTCTTGTTTTGCCCATAGGAGGCAATATCCTAGTAAGTTTTAAACCACAGGCATCTGGTTTAGACAAATCTGGGCCTGAATTCAAGATTTAACACTTAATAGACAGCGTGAACTTGGGGAAGTGAACTTCACTGTATAAAGTGCCAGGTAATACATACTGCAAAGGCTGTTCTGAGGTTTGGCCATGTAACATAGGAAGAGCCCACAGCATAATGCTAGTACCTAGTCAGCTCCTGTTATTCCTGTTAAAAATAACAGGACTGAGAGTGGCACGTAAGGAAGAGGGTAATGATTCAGGCCCCCTGAGCTCTGGTCGTACACCATGGAAGCGTTACAGAACGTGCTTCTAGAGAGTCATCTCTTCAATACGACAGTGCGGGCTGCTGCTTTTAGCCACTTCTCTTAGCCTCTTTGGCACTTAGCAGCTCCAGAGCAAGCTAGTTCTGGATTTAGCAGGTTATGGTAGTGGTTAGCCCTTTTAATTCTTGAAATTACATTCACTGCTCGAGTCTAGTTCATCTAGGCGAATCTGACACAGAGAGTACTTACTATATTGAGGTTGAGGTGCTTTTCAGCCTTTGCCTCTGGGTCCATTTTGTGGATGAAATAGGGGCCCTTACTGGTGCCCATAAGTAGAGAAAGAAGGTGCTGAGCATCTTTTAACTCACAGTTCAGTTCTTTTTACGTGGTTTTGGTGGTGCCAAGAATTGAATCCATTGCACTGAGCTTCTCCAGACCTTTTTATATTTTGTTTTGAGACAGGCTTCAGCTGAGTCACTAAATTTCAAGTTCAGCCTGGGGTTGAACTTGCAGTCCTCCTGCCTCAATCTCTTACTGGGATCCGAGGCCACAGTCTGTTTCTGAAGTCTAGGCTGGATTACAAATTATTTTCACCCTTAATTCTTTACACTAAGTTTTGGGTGAAAGGTAAATCAGAAAGTACATTGGTCACACCAGTACAATGAACAAGTCTTCAGGCTTGCTTAAGCCATACACAGGGATTGTTTCTTTTTCCCAAGGGATAACCATTACTCCTGTGTAGAATTTCCTTCGGCACTTTTTTCCAGCTCTTTCTCCCTTCCTGACTACTTTCTTCTCTGTCTGTCTTCACTCCATCTCTTTACCTATTTTTCTGAAACCATTTAAAAGGAGGTTATGGATCTCATGACATTTTTACCCTTTACACTCCAGCTTGCAGCACTCTCCCCCTCCCTCTCTCTTTCATCATGTGTTCATGGGTTTTTATTGTTCATTTTATGATAATCCATTTTCATAGTCAAGTTTTTCATAATGCTAAATCCTAATGTCCTAATCCCCAAATTTGCCGAGGTAGAATTCCAAACTAGCTCTGTATACCTTTGATCTTATTTGCATTTGAGCACTTGCTTGCTTTCTACCACCAACACTTCCCAAGAGCGCTTTGTGCTTTCCTTGAAGAGCCCTGGAGTCCACCTCTGCTCCAAGGAGCCTTGGCTCCTGCTGCTGGACAGCGTCAGAACTCAAGGTCTGGGGACATGCTGCTTCTTGCTCTTAGGATGTCATTGCTTCTAAGCTCTTTCAGTGGACAGAACCAGAGACCTCATTTTCTTAGGAGCCTCATTTAAAAATGTGTGCTCTGTTCTTTGACACACAGAAAGTAGTTCTGTAATTAGCATCTTACCATTACTTCCAATAAACCCTCTAAGGAGAGCTTGAAGTTTCTTTGCAGCTCTTGTGCTTAGA